AAAAAGGAAAGAAAGAAAATCAACAAGAACTCATCCCTTTGGCTAGGTAAAAATTTCTTGGGCTGTGGTTAAAAAGAAAAAGTTAAAATAGATTTAAGGTTGTGAGGTCTCTTGAAAGAAGTCTTTTTTTTTTTTTTTGGACCGGGGATTGAACTCTGGACCTTGTGCTTGCAAGGCAGGCAGCAGAACCACTGAGCTAAATCCCTGGCCCCCAAAATGACATTTTTTCAGTGATTTGCTGCAATTGATGTACTTCTTCTTTTTTTTTTGGTAGCAGGGATTGAATTCGGGTCCTTGTGTTTGCGCAGCAGGCAGCGAAACCACTGAGCTAAATCCCGGGCCCTGATGTCCTTCTTATAGAGCTAGTTTACCTTCCTTCCTTCCTCCCTTCTCCCTTTCCTTCTTCTCCCTCCCCTCCCCCTCTTCCTCCTTCTAATCCATTTCCATTCTGCCAGTATTGGCTAGCAAACACAGGGACACTCTACCATCAAACAAGAGCTACATTCCCAGCTCTTTTTTTATTTTCTTATTTTGAGACAGTATTGCTAAATTGCCTAGCTGGCCTTCAATTTGTAATCCTCCTGCCTCATTCATTCTCCAGAGGAGCTGGGATTAGAGATGTATGTAAATACACCTGGATAGAGCTTTCTTTTCTTAGGGGCTTTTTCTCAATTTAAACTGTGTCATTTAGATGGCTGTAGTAGCATTAGCAAGTCACATTTGTAGCTCATTTCTTGTTTTGAGACATGTATTATATATGCATTGAAATAATCTGCAAAGGAAATAATTCTCTTAGGAAAATATCCTAATTAGCCAAATAGAAGAATTTAGCCTATTATTTTTAGCTTGACATATAGTAAATATTCAGGGGGTGATAGTATTTTTAGAACTTTAAGCAAGTGTTAGAATCTGTCTAGGTCAATTTTCTTTATAGATTGATAGGTTAAGGACCAGAGAGGCTAAGTGGTTTACCTAAAGGTTATATACATTTTGCAGACAGGACTAAGACTATTTTCCAGGTTTTCTCACTCCTTGTCAACTGTTCTTTTTCTCCATAGGACAGCACTCATTCTAGTAGCCAACACTTGGCTGTAACAGTTGAAAAGAGAAGTTGGCCATAATAGTCGTTTTTATTAATTTCTTTTAAAAATCAGATAAAATTTTTTATCAGGTTTGAGATGTTCCAGATCTTGGTTTCATAGAATTTACATTCTATTTGGAAAGACTAAATAGTCCTGTATAACATAACCTGAAAACAAAGGTGAAACTACAAAGAACTACTTATCCAAATTTTTACTTACCAAATTTTTCATAGACTAGAGAAAGCATTGTAAGGAGGTAGTAGAATGTAAAGATTAAGAGAGTGGGTTTTTTGTTTTTAAGCCTAGTTTGAGTCTGCCACTTGGGTAATTTACTTAACCCCTTGAGCCTCAGTTTTGTTAATTGTAAAATGTGGGTAAAAATATCTTTCATCTCATGGAGTTGTCAATTGAATAAAATTGAATAGGATGACAAATCCATGTGTTCAATTCCTGGTATATTGAAAGCACTGAATAGATATTAGTCACTATCATTATTTTTGAACAGTGAGAAGGCTGTTTGTTTGGAATAAAAGGTTTATGCAAGGAATAATTTATTCATTCAACAAATACTTATTGAGAACTGACAATGTGGTAGGAATTATTCTGAACAAGACAAAGTTCATGCTCTCATGCAAGTTAGTCTAGCTTGAGGAGACAGTAAACAAACAAACTGATACATTTATGACACATAGGAATAGGTGCTATAGAAAAATACAGAGCAAAGGAAAAGGGAATGACAATGCAGACTGGGGATTGATAAGCAAAGAAGGTGAAGGTAACAAATCTTGGCAAAGATTTGAAGGGAATGATGGAATGTGCCATGCAGATGGTTGAGGTAGGGAGGGGAAATGTTCCAGATACATAGAAGAGCAAATGTAGCCAGGGATTTAGCACAGTGGTTTCGCTGCCTGCTGCGCAAGTGCAAGGACCCAAGTTCGATCCCTGGTACCAAAAAAAAAGAAGAGCAAATGTTGCTGCCTGGTGTGTTTGAAGAGTAGCTAGGAAGTTAGTGTAACTGAAGCAGTGTGATCTAGAGAGAGTATTATTGAGGTCAGCAGGATGCTAGATCATGTAGAACCTTGAAAGCCAATATAG